AGCACGGCAGGAGGGTGGCGGGCAGCAGAATACAGTCTATCTCAAGGTTATACTGTGTGAGATGAGGCTGATTGGAGGTTTAATCGGCTCTCTCTACCTTAGTTTCTCCCCGCTATTGTGAATCTATCTCTCCATCAACACATTGCCATGAAACCATAAGCAGGACTTCTGTACATCTCTCGTGATTCAAGATAATCAACATGCTCTCTTGGTTTAGAGATGAAGGAAACCTCACAGCCAATCTTAATTCAACTTATGTCATAACAAAGCAGGAAATTAAGCTTTTCGTGTTACGTGAGTATGTCTTCAAAAAGAAAAAAAAGGTGCACTGTAGAGACACCACAATATGACCTCAGCATATTCTTCAGTTAATATCACTTGCATTTTACTAATGAGAGCGGAGAGATGTAAACAGGGTAAATGCTGCGCCTCATGAGCGAATGACTCATGTTTTGAAATAATGGGGGCAGACTCGTCACTGCAATGTGAGCCACGCTCCTCCACCATTCAGGGCTCTGTTTGATGACCCCTGAATGGTGGTTGAGGAGCAAAAAAGCCTTCACAAGTGACATATTTGAATTATCTGCTATCTGTGCGCTGGCTGATGGATGTCAAGTCTGTCGTTTCTGTAGCCTGTTAGATGACATTTTGGATGAACATGTGCTCTTAATCAGGAGCCTAAATCTACAGCCACACACTATAAAATCCAGACTGTCGAGCACCATCTGTCTCTGACAACAAACACGACGCTTTCCAGTTTTGCTCCATCAAAATTGTCCGCCTGAGATCGCAGCCCCTATTTTACTGATCACCAAGGAAATTATAGTTAAGGATTATTAAGATTAATTATAGCCATTAAAATGTAGATGGGATTTGAATGGTTTGTGGAGCAGACTTTCCAAAGCGCATGTTTGTATAGACATAGATGTTAATGATCGCCTCCAATAATTAGGATCATTGATTCTGAACAGAGAATAACGCGCTGAAGTCCTAGAGGATGTCATACGTTCAAACTGCCTCAGCAAATAAACCAGAAAACACTAAGGCTCATGCACGTACACACACACACACACACACACACACACACACAAGCAAATACTTTACGTGCGCTCTTTTGAATGTAAAACAGTGACTGCTCTGTGGTAATCATACTAACAAGTGCTTGCATAATCAAGTAATTATGCAATGCAAATGATGAGTGTCTCACCTGACATTTGTTGAACAGTGCAGCAGGTGTTAAACCTCTGCTCCTGTCATGTGACTTTTGAACACTGTTCAGAGGACGAGCTACGTTTGGAATATTAATTGTAGTTTTTTTTCATTTTGGGTCTTTATTTTTTTGCTGTGTTTGTGTGTGAGCAGCAGTTGTTAAAAAGACTCTAATAAGATCACAGCCTTGTGACTACAAAAGCCTGATCCAAGCCCTCAGTGGTACTTGGTTGGGATGTTGGGATTTCTCATTTCAGTTCTAAAACTCAGTAAACAAGAAGCTAATAAACAAACAGTTTGTGGTGGTAGGTGACCTGATGGTATTTTGTTGCACAGCAAGTCTTCCCCCAAGACCAATACGTTGCCATCTCTGTGCTTGAATTGCCTGAGCTGAATATTTCTCACAGAAGCTTCTGTAGAAGGAGTGACACCCTTGTTATGCAAATAACTGTGTGCAGTACCGTTCAAGTAACGCGGAATATATTACAGAGGTTTCCCTTTTTCCTGTTTTCTTTCAAATCTGCATGGGGGAGCAGGTTACAGAGCAGAATCTGTTTCAAAAAGCTGCTCCAGAGAGAGCAGAGCGGGGTTCATACACCACAGAGTTGACACTGCAGAAGCAGACTGCATCTCAAGAGTCTTCAGGTGATGTCTGTACACTTTTCTACTGACAGCAACACATCAGAGCCACATCCTGGGGTGTGACGCCTCGCACTGCTGCTCATTACTAGCAACTCCAGTGGGAGAGTGAGATTATAGAGATTATATAGGACAGACAAAACAAATGTCTACAGAGAGTCCACAGCCATGCCGTGGCTCCGTGAGCTCTGCGCATTTTTATGTGGCTGTTACAAGCAAAACACATATAAGCAGAACCTGTGACTGTCCATTTTTTGGATGATAGCTTTGCCCTGTTTGATTTTTACATATTTCTGTCAAGCAGAATATGTAGACTTCAACATTTTTCAATCTGTTTACTCAAGCAGCTGATGTAAATAATTGCAGTCCAACAGAGATTTGTCAGTGTTTGCTATGATGTGGCAGTGGGGATTGTGGAGGTGGCTTTATCCACCGCAGATGTCAGAGACTGGCTGCTGAACACCGTGTTGCTGGGAGCACAACAATCACATCTATTGTCTCTTTTCTTCCCCACATGTTTCCCAAAGCCCGCAGCACGGTATTTTTAAAAAAAAATTGCAACACAAATTGGCCCTGGCTGCTATGAACATGTGGTAGTGCAGAATCACGGCTGTGATTCCAAAAAAAATTGATGATAATGGAGTTGGATGGGGTTTTTTTTCAGAAGTTCTCAAATTTGTGAAGTTTTATTCAGATAATTTAAAAGTGCTTCGGTCCTGAAAATAGGATTATAATGAGAAATTTACACAACCGTGCCATCAGTTCAGGCGGTTGAGGAAATGGCTTAATCTGATTAATATACATCAGAGCATTCACAGTCAGTCAGAGAACATTGAATTGCTCTGACCCCCATTGTTCACAAACTGAGAGGAATATTTTCTTGTATAGACGGTACATGGATGCCATTTTTCCTTTTCTGGGGTATTGTTGCCATGGCGGCACAATGTTTGGCTCTAATAAAACAAAGTTCATAATCCGCTAGAGGCACAAAAGGGCCTCGGCATTACTGGACTTACTATTAAATCATGGCAGTCCAATTAGAAGAACGATAAGGATATCTTTCACCTCTCGGGAAATACACTTATTTGCTCACTTAGTTAGATTCAGTTAAATTAGATTATATTAGAAGATTGATATTAATTTAGTCTCTGCTCAGTGGAGAGATTGGTCCAGAATGTATTTACATTCAATTCAGTTCAACTTTAATATAAGTATATTGCACATAATGAAACATAGTGTTGTCAGAAAAGCATACTATGGTATCTGTTGAAGATATCCAAACTCATTTAAGAGGCAGGACAATTCAAGTGTGAGCTGCTGTTTACACTTTACACATACGGTGCAGCTGGTGGTAAGAGTGCGTGAACTCACAGCAGGACAAAGAGAAAACAGCCAGAAAGAAGAATAAACCTTACAGCCTTTCAGAAGAGAGAGCAAGAGAAAACAGTTAACCCTGGTGAAAAAATAAAACCTGCACCTTCAAACAATTTCAAAACAATTATGTCCTTGCTGTATTTTATAAGCTGGCATGTACTGAAGTGTTGGAAGTGGAACGTGTGCAGCGCCAATAACTCATGCAACCACTGGGCCCAGGAGTTGGTCATTAGCTAATTATCTCCAATTCATAAGATAAATGCTTGTTAAGTAGATCTTGTTTTTATTTATTCTCTGGTGATTTTCTCTATTTCTTTACTGTTAAAAAACCCACGAAAAGGAAAAAACAACGATGAATTTATCCAACTAACAAATTTTGCCTGTGTATTCAAAGCCTGATGTATTCCTCCTCTTCATAATCTGTTGATAAAAATGCATAATTCAACTACACTTTTGCACTGGGTGACATGTTCTTTCCTTCTTTCCAATGAATGTGGGCACTGTGGTTCACTCTGACTCAGTCGCAAACACGCCATCCTGCTGCTGGAAATAGTCCTCGTCAAATATGCTGTTTACTCCTGTTTGAGTAACATTTGCTTATATGAGCTGTTTTAGGAACGACCTAGCCATGTTTAAAGATTTAAATGTTCAATTTGTGTCCTTTTTACTTTAATTTGAGGGTATGGGGATAGAGGGCATCATATATTATACGGATAAGTGGTTGTGCAGATTGTAGAACCTCCTGCATTAAATCTGTGATTTCAGGCTATATATTGAAAAGGGTTTGAGTCTCAAGGCTACAGAATTTTTATGGGAGGTCAAACATTTTGAGAGACAGATTTTAGTCTTTTCATGGGATTTGTGGACCATAAAAAAATATCAGGCAGCTCTTAAAGGAGTTTTTGGAAGGCTAAGAGCTAAATGTGTCACAAATCTATTTCTGTATTGAACAGATTGAAAAGAGATCAAATTGTTGTTGATCTTGTGATCTAAACGATATCTGGCAGAGCACTTGTGACTTCCTGAAATGTTGCGTTATAAACATTTTCGTGTCAGCGCTACATGAAAACTGTCAGCCCTCATCCTCACACAGAGGTTGTGCCCTTCTGTGCGGTGAGGTGTCCATGGTTACTGACATATTTCTGCCTTGGTGTGGCATCGCTGCCTCTTCCTGTGAGCAGAGCATCTGATGGATGGTGACAGGGTTGCCACTGCTGCTCAAGAAGAGAGTGGGGGGCAACGCCATCCTTTACTGTTTCCCCACGCTGTCACATGAAGTGTCTCACTTGATCCGTCCGTGCACTGTCACTGCAACACACACGAGCAAACACACACACCCAGTAATGTCTACACAGCAGTAAAGGCACAGAGGCTGTGCTCTCATTGTTGTTACCTCTTCAGGTTTTATTTCTTGAGATAACATCCTTCTTCTCCTTGTCTCTTGTCTTGTTTGCACACACATTGTACCATGTGGCAACGCCTTTGTGTCTCAAATCAGATGGAGTGCATCATGAACAGATTGAATGAGGCATTAATAGATGTAGGACAGTCAAAGGCAAGCATATCACAAAAGGAGCATTGTGAACTTTCTCGAAACCTTCATTTATTTTGACATTACTATGCGTTAGGAACTGATGACTGGCATTTTACTAGGTTCTAAGGAAACACCAAACAAAGGGCCTTTACAAGACAGAAGGTGATGATGTCATCTGTTGTATTTCTCCATCCATCCACCCCTCCTTCCTTCCTTCCTTCCTGCCTGCTATCACCCCCTCTAGTCTGAACCCATACAGCTATGACGAGAGCTGCGTGTCCAGCAGCGTGGACCACCTACCGCTGGCTGCCCTCCCCCTCCTCGCTATCGTCTCACCGCGCTACCAGGATGCCGTAGCAACCGTCATCGCCCGAGCCAACCAGGTCTACCGCAGCTTCCTGCAGTCAGAGGACGGCCAGGGATTCACGGGTCAGGTCTGTCACACCCTGTTCTGGAGAGGGCAGGAGAGGAGAGGATAACTCCTACACTGTAGTCTCTCACCACTGAGTCATGGGCAGTACACACTTTAGTGACAAAGGAAGTAAGGATTCTCTCTCTTCTACATAGCAACTTCTAGGCTCTTGGTAACAAGATGCGTTTTGTAGTGAGGTATGTAAAGACTGTTCACAAGTTGAATTTAACAGCACTAGGTTAGGGCTGTGAAACACAATTTCTGTCCTTGCTCAGCTTCAATTATACAAAGTATTCTCAATGTTATTTAATAACCAGATCAACAAGTGTCCATCAAAAAACTGAAGAAAAAACATTTTTTCACTGCAGTTTTTATTCCTATTAGCTGCTGTAGTTCAGCTGCTGTCGTGCTCATTTTCATTGAAAAGCCGTGGATTCTCATTCAGGCTTTGATGGCACATGATTGAAAGCCACTGGTAAATACAATCTTGCTGAGCCAATCAGCTATGACCATGGAGAGCTACATTAGATACAGTAAAGTAAGGTTCAAGTTAACAGCCCGACGGGTGATGACAGGTAATTACAGCAATCTCCGTTATTCTTGATTGGTTCTTCCTATTGTGGATAGATGATGTATGTTGTGATAATTGGTATTTTCAATTCCCTGGCATTGGATAATGGGTTGATGGATGGATACTGTTGATATTATTGTTTAATTTCATAATTCCTTCTCCTCTACAAATTTATTTACTCATTCAAAAAGATCAACTTTCAACCTTGTTGTTTGTTCCCTCTGCAATATATTTTCTCTGCAGATTAGTCTTGTAACTTGTAATTACCTTAATCGTATGACCTGTGGGGTTTTTCATTCCAGCGCGTCATTGTTTTAATAGTTCACCGCCTGGTGACAGTGGACACGTGGATTGGCACTTAACTGAAAAACAGGAGCTGTTTCCCAATTTCATCCTGCATACTGATTTTAAGCGGTTATGAAGATGGCACGTGTTCACAATGTAAAAAAATCACAAAATTAAGGAAACTCAAAAAAGCATGCAAACTAATGATGTGTAAATGCAATTTCAGCCAAAGGAGAAAAAACAAGAAAACCTGCGCAACATTCCCAGATGGTTAGCCAAACTGCTTACCCAACAGATGAATGGTCTAAATGCGTGGGTGTTTCCCACTGGGTTGCTTGTAATTACAGCTTGAACGATATGTTGTGAACGCAGCATAAAAAAATAAATAAAATAAAAAATGATTGTTTTGTGAGTGAGCTGCTCTTGAACGATATTGTCCCCCAATGCAATGCACAGAGGAGATGGAGGAGCTGCCCACTGCTGCACAACAATCAAATAAATTGTGAATAACGGCTCCAGAGGGATACATTACAGGAAAAAAAAAAAGAGTATTAAATCTTTAGACACACATTTGGCTTTCTCTTTTATTAGCAGCGGTGTAGACGGATGTTATTTGGCATGCATATTGTTTCATTAGCTGTTTCTACAAAATGGTAAAATCCGTTGATTCCTTACATACTAAATTTCAAAAACAGTACACTATGACAGTCAGTCCATAGTGGATACTGTATCCTGTTTATATTTCGTATGGAATAGGGACACACTGATGGTCATACCTTCCTGTCCCTATGAAATATGTTGTTTTCTCACTTTTTTTATTCCCTCTATACACCTCTCCAATTGCCCTCCTGTCAAAGCTTTTACTGACTGAGAGAACCACATGTGGAGGGCGTCTAAATCATAAATTTCCCGAGCAGGTATGCCTGATGGGCGACTGTGTGGGAGGTGTGCTGTGCTTTGACGCTTTGTGCTTCAGCAACCACCAGAGGCCCGGCAGCCCCAACAACAGCAGCAGGAATAACAGCACTGAGAGCCTGAAGGTACGAGCTGAGTGTTACAGCGATAAGATGATGATGATACTCGGGGCTTTGTGGCGTTTGGGAGGCTATTAACAGCTGGCAAAAGAAAATTTTACTGGTGATATATGATTAAGAGAGGACTGCAAATGATGAAGATGACACGCCTGTGTTACTCCTCGTCTCTATACCTTGGTACGACTCCGTGTTCTTTCTAATAAAGTAATTTTTACAGTTCGGTACCTCTATTAAGAATGGCTTTCAGAAATGTCACTGTACACCAGTGCCAATGTCCTCTGCACTATGTTTTTCTAAAGTCTCTTATATAAGATGTAAATCAAACAGGGGTTAATTATGTGTGTGCAGATCACCATTTGTTGTCGGCGTTTGACTCGATGGGAATATCAATTTTTCGGAGCCTCATTTTAAGGAGTCCCAGTGTCGTGTGCGTGTTCCTTATTCATTGTAACAATTGTGCTGTAGCTTGTCATTTTCTTTTTCTTTTCCTCCTGCTAAATGTTGCTTGATCCCCACTTTCTGCCTGTTAGCCCCTCCCGCCCCTCTCCTCCCTCTCCCCCTTTGCTATTCAAATCCACTCACGTCTTTATAGATTCAATCTTGCGCAGGCACAGTTTTTTCCTCCCACATTTAACTGTTCACCTGGGAAAACGCATCAACTCCCATCTGATTGTGTGCAATCTCCTGATGCAGCCACTGCTGTGAGTGTATGCGGCTTTACAGTAACTTGCACATTCTCTCTCCTTTCCGCTCAGGATAACTCGGGGTCCGTGCTAGGGGAGTCCAGCCCGGGGCTCAGTTCTAGCAAGAGGCTGAGTAAGAGCAACATCGACATCTCTGCCCCCAACGAGGGGCACAGTCAGGGTGGGCCGCAGCTGAGCCGGAAGCAGAGCGACTCGTATGACGGAGATACCTCGTCCACCGGCCAGCACAGCTTTTTTCCCAGGTGGAGTAGCACACATGAACATACCCACACACAGGGACGGGCATTATGATGATATGTACTGTGAGAGAATACAAGTCTGCCTACTATCAGACATTGTGACTGTATACATAGAGATATTTATTCATTTAAAATCTCTGGTGTATTAGGCAATGTTGCAAATCAATGAACAGGCCTGGTTTGGTTGTTCATTCCGTCTGCTCCACTAACAAATCATTTTCCAGATGTTTTCATACTAGTCCTGTCAAAATGTGGTTTTAGTTTAGTTTAAAACCAAACTTAAAAAAGCAACATGTGACTGATTTGATCAGCGGTCGTCTAGAAAATCGAAGGGCAGACGCACACAGACGGAGATTTATCGATTTTATTATTAGGATGAGAATGTTTATCAATATCATGACATATAATGACATGTATCATAATAGAGACATTGTGAACACATTGTTCACCTGTGTTCACATATATAAAACATCTGACTGCACCTCTAGCCTAAATCTGATCCAGACTCTGACCTGAAATAACCCTAATACAGCAAAGTACCAACATAAAAAACATGCCCATCAGATCTACTAAGTAAATAAAAGCTTTGGTAAACTCCCTCTAATCATACACTTGGATCAGATCTCTGATTTTTATTTATGCTCTTTCAGCAAAAAGTGACCTGAGGTGACTTACAGTTGTACATCCACAAAGTAACACACACTCACAAAGCCCATAATCTCAATCAGACTGCTTCAGCCTCACAACCAGAATGGAGGGATATAAACAAGTTGTGTACAATCAAATAAATTGCAGTCTACCAAGTGCTGCAACAACTGTCTGCTACTGTTGGTTAATCTGAAATACTGGAGCAATAGGTTTATTTAAGGTACCATTCATGGTAACCTTGAATTTGGAACAAACTGTGTTACTACACCCTGTGATACATTTTTGGACAGCACTGTACTGCAGGAAGTAGCACTTTTTTTTTTTTTTTAATCAGAATGTGAGGAAAAGGCAAGTAACAAAGAAAGACAGGAGTGGTCTCTTCCAGGGTGTCTATGCTCCCATCCATAGGGTGTGAGGGGTCAGTGGGTTTGGTGAGTCTGAAAATGATGTGAATCATATGCTTTGTTTTTACCAGATCTCAACCCAAGTGAACACCTATGGGAGATTTTGAACAGTACTTTCCACCACCATCATCAAAACAAGATGAGGGAATATATCTTGGAAGAATGGTGTTCATGCCTCCACTTGTAGAATCAATGCCAAGGAGCAGTCAAGCTGTTCTGGCTGCACATGGTGGCCCAACACCTACAGTATATACATGGAATATAGTTATGTAAATATAGTTATATTATTATACATTGGATAATTTAATAATTAGTCATTTTGATAAAAAAAAATGTTGTCCACAAAAACCCACAACTTGGCAACAAAGCACATCAGACATCAAAGGTACAGAATAGTGTTAGAAATTCTACCATCCATTTCTGTCAAACAGCATTTGTCGATCGGTGATGAGTGTGTTAGGGGTTCATATAATGACCCAGATGTTGCACACCAGCCCTCATCCAGATTTTCCTGGAATGTGTCGCCCAGTCTCGCCCCTGCTCTTTATCAATATTTGCAGCTTGACTGCCCTGCGTGCCTACCTGCCTCTGCTGGACTATAAATAGCCTGTTTGTGCCTGTGCCAGCCACTTTGCGTGGGAGACTGAATGCTGTGGCTGGATGGGGTATGGCTGCCATGTTGACTCAATTCAAGCAACCAGTGTTCCCATTACGAATCACATGCTCCACTGGGCTCACACCATCACAACCACAGTGTCGCTGAAGATAGGAGCTCATCAATTCACAGTTATGCCATCCTGTGTTCAGGGCAATGCACCTATTGCCTTTCACTCTTGCGCTGATTAAGCCCGAGCCTGGTTGTGTGGAGGGTGACCTCTGCCCCTGGATTTTGCTCTTTTCCCGTCTTTGAACGTCCCAGTTGATATTCCCAGTTACCAGGAGGACTTGTTAAAACTCCTTTTCCCAGACATTTTCCTCCTATCAGAATGGCTGTCTACCTATGGTTCACTCCATTTCAGATGTTTCCACATGTACCTTTCCCTGCCTTGGCCCTGACTGGGAATTGCCTGTGAGATCATGTGCAAATGGTCATTACACTGCTCTTATGAAAAACCCAATGAGGCGCACTCATTGTAGCAAGCAGCATGGCTAATTATTATTATTTTTTTTTTTTTGTCAAATTTTTTCTTAATCTCCCTTTGACTAATTTCACTGAACATATGGCAGTGAAACTGGCTTCTAGAGTTGCGAAAAATTAAATACCAAAACACCTAAATGGACATAATTGACATAAAGTATTTAGAAATCTGTTTAGTCTAAAGTGCTCAGTAAAAAAAAGATTATGTGTGGTTAGAGCCAATAAAAGTCTGCGCCTAATGCCCATAAGGAAATTTATTCGACAAGCTGTAGCTTCATAGAGAGGCACCAGCGTCAGATTTATTTGCCACTCCTTCAGTAAAAGGCTGGACATTTTGTGACTTGTCATATGTTTCAGCTCAGTTAGCAAATCTAATATTTGTCATATTTATTTAACATATTGGTAACAGTTAAACAGGAAGTGAAGCAGAAATGCTCATCTAAATCTAAAAATAACACATTTCTGTCTGCACCAACAGGCAAAATGACAGTTTCCGAGGTACACCGTTATTAAACGTTTTATGTTCCAGTGAATGAGAAGTGCACTTACCCAGAGCATGGGTTTTTGTTCAAATAAATTTAACATGTCAGCATGGGACATGAGTCTATTTACAGCAGTAGAGAACATGTACAAACCCACTCTTTTAATCACGCTCATCCTGATGGTGCATGTCCTGTTCATTCAATAAGTAATGCCCCAGCGGTTCCCCATGTCCTCAGCCACACAGATACTGCTACTAGTTTCTTGGAGTTTGGAGGATGTTAGTCACCATGAGGATATTTTGCCTCAGTTACAGGTTTTGGTAGGTAGACAAAGAAGCAGATTAGCAGTAGGGAGAAGTGAAGGAGTGGACACATTATGAGAGAGAAGACGAAAAAACAAAACGGAAGCAGAAGACAATCAAAGCACTATTGATTTGGCTCTTAAAGACGTCTGGAGACTGTTGGCTAATCCTTTCTCCCTGCACAGGACTTAATGGGGAAATGTTGGCTCGCTGGAGAGCATAGAGACAGAGGGTCAAGACTGAGATGGGCTCGGCTGTTCAAACAGCTGTAAGCATGATGTAGCCTGTGAAGGCTGAATGAATAGCGGCTCAGGCTGAGTCATAAAGGCCCGGTGCTGACAATGACCCCAGAATGTTAAAACAAGCCAGCCTACAACTGAATCAGGATAAAGCAAAAGCAGCGCTGACTCACCTCTGTCAAGAACCAGAGATTTGCCTTCACAATGTGTGTAATTTTGACTTTTAAGGTTTCCGATAACCCTGCATTTCTCTTCAAATACAAACAAAAAGCTTCTCTTCTTTCATACACTCATCCTCTTGCCTATAGGCTCAACCACTCTTTGCCATCAAGCACTCGAATTTCAATGCTGAACCATGAACTGGGTTGAAAGGAATGGTTGCACTTCAAAATGATAATTTTTGTATTACTTACCTGAAGCTACGTTTACTGGCTTTTACTTCATTCTTCATGGGAAACACAGCCTTTAATAGAGCAATATCAAATGTCACTAAAAACCTCTCCTGCAGCAGCGTGAATGTCTTAGATCCATGTGAATGCTCACTGCAGCCCAATAATCACCGCATTATAGCTAATTAACCACATTCACACAATCCTCACATGCCTTCCTCCAGTCCATTTATTGGCCAGTTGTGGCTACATAACATGTAGTCAGAGTAAAAGTCCAAAGAGTGAAGGACCAACTGGTTTTTCATCTGGTAGCCAATGGCGACAGACAATAAACACAGAAGAAAAAATTCATATTCGCAGGTGGAAAAAATAAAAATTTCATATTTTGTGTCCGTGTCTACTCCCCAGTTTGATGAAAGAAAGTGTAGAGCGTGGCGGCAGTAACACCAGCCTGGTGTTGAACCCTGGCCGGTTCGACTTTGAGGTGTCAGACTGCTTCCTGCTGGGCTGTCCATTGGGCCTTGTGCTGGCCATGAGACGCACCGTGCTGCCTGCCGTCCACGGTAAGAAGCAGACACATGCAACACGTATGTGAGAATGCCACTCTTTACACAGATGCATGTATGCAAGGATATGCACATTCTATTGCGCAAACACAGATAACAGTATTTTTAGTGTGTTTGTGTGTGTGTCCATTAGTCTCCAATTGTTTTGCTGTGTCAGTTGGTTTTCTGTTGTCTTATTACGAGCTTGTCAGTCAACTGTAAAACACATTTAACTGCACTAATCTGTATGAAAGGTGGTTGGAATATTAGCTTTGATCGTTGGAAATTGGAGTGCAATGTCATAGTTGGATGGTTTCACCATTTTCACATTTTACTGATTTTCTGTAATAAATACTCACATTTTTTAAAAGGATCAAATCAGCTTAAACTCCTGGATTTGACCTCTCCACTCATTGAAATCTGCTGCGTTCTCTGTTCCACAGACAAAAAGACAAGTATTTTTTTCATGCTCTACTCTTCACTGTAGTTCACTACAACAAAGGTCCTGTGATGGTGAGCACAGCTCAGAATATGCCTCCACTCAGTCTGTCAAACATCGCTCTTTGTCTGACACAGCTACACCTCATTCCAAAAATCCCTCTGTCTAATAGCTGTGCCTGTCCATTGTGTTCTTTAACCCTCAGTGAGTCAGCTCCATCCAGCCTGCTCTCAGATTTTCAACCTGTTCTACCCCTCGGACCCTTCAGCCTCCCGACTGGAGCCACTGCTACAGCCTCTCTTCCACAAGTTGCCACCGTTCGCTGTGCCGCGCTACCAGCGCTACCCTCTAGGAGACGGACGCTCAATGCTCATAGGTACGACAGGTGATTTGAAACCTGGAAATCAATTTACCAGTGTGGCGAGATAAACGCGAGCAGCAACGCCGCACCTGAATATTTCATTGGTTAATCTATCTTCTGGTGTAATTGTATTGCCATATTAATAACCTTTTGGATTTTGCATTTCAAAGCTGGCATTAGACCTTTTGAGGAATTCTTTTAGTGAGACTGGATTACAGCAGCAGAGAGAGTAATGTGAATTTTCACGGATGCAGAAGGCACATAGATCCTCGATCCCATCTGTGTGAGGTATATCCTGACCCCCAAAGCCTGAAGTCTGAAGTAATTATACTTCATATTCTTGTGATGCAGTACCTTTAGCCTCCCTTAGCTCTCTGAGGTTCAGGCACAGTACGTGAGATATGAATCTGCTAGCACAGTCCTGCTGTAATCCCACTGGAGGGCTTGGTTGTAGAGACTGAGTCCTTAATGAGCCACTGATTTATTTGAAGCATGTTTTAGCCCACTTTTGGGACATAGAGACTCACCCTAAACAGTCACAGCAGTTGTGATGCATCGCCTGGTTCCTGCCTCTCTATCCACCTACCTCACTGAGAGAAAGTAGGACAAGGACTGATCGCTTGTGCTAACAGCCTGTGAGCATGAATCCTGATATGAAGATAAGGCTTTGTCGTTTGGTGCAACACTTTAAGAAATTTTGAACCTTTCTACTCAACATGCAATCATTAAAAAGATGTATAACTCAAAGCAGATTTGTCAAATGTGCCATCTCAGTGAAATGGAAAATTAGTTTCTATCTTGGTTTCAGTTATCCTTTTTGCTTGGAGCACTGCAGGTCCCTTTTGTCAGGGATTTTCATATTTCATAAACCATACTAAATACAACTTGAGGACAACCATGCAATTTGACAGTTTGACACTTAAACCAAACTATCTTTGTAAAATACAGTAATAAAGAGTTTGTAAGTGGTTGTGAGTGGTGACAACTCATTCAAGATCCCAGGAGAAATCTGATTGGATCATTAAGACAGATCAAGGGTCAGTTTTCCTGTGTTTGATTTTTTCTTTTTTTTTAAATCAGCCTGGTTAAAGATTAGTCCCATATCATTTTACTAATATGGAAAATTATTTTACATCCAGTGGTGTTTAGAATAATCAGTTGTATATCATGCAAAAGGCAAAATTATCATAAAAAATTGATAATTATCATACAACCTGTAATAGTAACATTTCTGTCACATCTGAACATAAAGGCCACAGCAGCAGTACAGTTACATGTGCACAAAGCGAGATGAAATGCATGAGGTGTTTTGCCTTGTTAAGATCACTGTAAAAATGGTTTCACCTAATAAGAGATATTTCTCATGTCAGATCAGTTTATGATAAAAAAAACAACATGATGATCATCAGATTTGCTATCTCCCTCCCCAAAATTTGTGTTAATATAAAGTATGAATATCCAGAAAAACGCTGCAGCATGTCAGCAAATAGATAGTCCTAATTTAGCATATGTCAATCCTTTTGCTTTGGCGCTGTTGGATATTATAAAATCAGCTACAGAACTCTCTGTCTAATGATGAAATTGATGAGAAAATTTAACAGGGGGTTCAGTGTGAGAAGCAAGAGCGCGCCTCCCTTGTGCTCATCATGGTCATAAATTTAGGCTTTAACAGAAAAATCAGTTTTAAATAGATCATTGATGCAGCCTGTGAGGGAACAGAAAACACTCTTCTTAATAACACTGGTGTAGTGACCATTCATAACCTGCTTGTTATGTCAGTAATAGTTAGATATTTCATAGAATCATCTAATTATCATCATTTGTTCATCCCATTTATATGAATTGAAATTGACAAAATATTAGGAACACATCTCAGTACAACCCAGCACAGTTCAACAGCTCCAGAAATTAGAGCCAGTAATATAAAATGACCATTAAAACAAATCAATACCTCTCAGACAGATTCAATAAAAACTGAGTATTATATATACTGATAGTTCAGCAAAAAAGTGTGTCATAACAACCTTTTCTCTGAACTGGAGAATGACTAGAAATTGACTGGATTTATATCATCATGGGAATAATGTGCAGTTAAGAAAATCGCTGCCATACTGGAACAATAGTTTCAACACCAGCGGCCGTTAAAGGAAAAGAGAAAACATACAATGGCTGAATAACGTTAATAATAACATTCCAAGATGCATGGTGCAATGTTATGTTACCATAACAGCAGCAGTGCATAAATGACTTGTTCCGTCTATTAATAATGCTAATATGTCATGCATGGGTTGGGATGAAAATTAAACGCCCCAGCCCTAAGCGACTGTCATTTAATTTTGTTAATGTTTCTCGAGAACTACTCATCCAAAAAACTTCACAGTCAACACAGCACTTCCTTGGGTATTGAGCAATACCCATGTAAAGTTTGAAGTCGATCGGATGAGCGGTTGTTGAGAAAACAGAAGGACAGACAGACGGAGAGACAGACAAGAATTTTTGCATTTATAGTTAGATTATCTTTCAACCCACCACGGTGCCACCACTCCTGCTTTTGCACTAGTTGCCAAATATTGCACAAGCATTATGGATTTTTTCTTAATGCTTCTGTTATGTTTGATAGCCACATCCTTTTTTACAGATCCTGTTCTGTCAGTCTCATTACCGGCCCTCTATGTGTGCCTGTCATTCTGGTGAACATGAGAGCGTGCCACGTGTATGGTGGTCTGGGACTGAGCTCACTTCCCCACCACAAGACCCAATCCCTCCTCTGCTGCTCATATGTGACTTGTGTACAACAAAAGGAATGTCTGGTGCATGTTAGTAAATAACGGGTGTAAACTGGATACTGGATGCCCAATCTGTGATTTATTAATTTAATCATGTTCAGCCAGTCAAAGAGCGCCTCTTAGAGCCAGTGGTGCTGATAAAGGTGATGGAGTGTAAAAGCAGACACAAGCGCAGGCTAGCAGCTACACTGGGTTTTAATTATGGGTCTGCATCCCGGTTCCATTGATCGGGCTTGGATGCTGTCAAATTATGTGTTAAATTAAAAACCATAGACAGATGCACATGGGCATCGGCAGACACACGAACACACTTGCTCACACAGACACACAGAAAAAACAGTGGCACACCTCACCCATTTCCTGCTCTGTAATATGGTAATCAGTTGTTATGAAGGCATGGAAAGCCAATCAAATCAGGCTCCTTTGGGGATGACTTTGACATCAACACCCATCAACAGTGGAGCTTTTATTATGATGAATGTTGCTAATATAGAGAGAATGAGTCCTCTTCCTATTGATTTCCAGCTATGGTCCAATGGGAAATATGATCATGCAAGAAAGCAAATTATAGTCAGTACTGATCACATGACTGACGGTGCTTTAATGCAAAAATGGTTGTGTTTTTTTTTTTTTTTCTCCCCATGAAATTATTAGTTAACAGAATGCTTGTGTGTGGAGGCTGAGAGCGTGGCAACGACTGGAGGGGAGGGTGCAGAGTTAAAAGTCTCTTTCTGTCTCTTTTTGTTACAAAGACGTTTCAAGGCCACAGTGCAATCATCCTCTGTCACCTTGTGAATTCTCTGTGTGTCCTTCTTTTTTACCACTGTCATCAGCTGTTTCACTCTCCCCTGCCTCGTGCTTCAATCATAATCCTTCCGTCGTTCAATCGCACCAACAACTGCACCATATTTGCTTCATCCTCATTTTCAAACATACTTGCATGCATGTGCTCGTCCTTTTTTCCCTTTTTGTGTCAGTCACCACGCAGCTCCATCTTTCCTGCTAGCCCTTACAGTTTTTTGATGCTCCTCTCTTTCTGCTTCTTCCCCACCACATATCTTTTGAGATTTTATGTAAAATGCATCAGTCACTGTTCTCTTTCTCTCTCTGTCTTTCTCTCTCTCTCTCTCTCTCTCTCCCTCCCTGCCTCTCCCCTCTGCTCATCGTGTTGAAAGAAAGACAGAGTCGTGCTAATATTCCAGAGACTGAGAATAAGGCTCCACTGAGAGGTATGTGGCAGGCAGGGCTTATTAATGATAACAGATTGTAGTGTGTGAGCGTGTGTGTGTGTTTGTGTGTGTAAGGACATGAATGTGTGTGAGCATGCATTCCCTCCGATTTCTTGAAAACCTTAGAGCAGGTGTAATTGACAGAAAATCATTGCAAAGTATACAATATATACAACGGCCCTGTCTTCAGTGAAAACATTTATAACACATTGGTTAGAGAATATGTGATGAGATTTGTGTTACATTAAATTGTCATCATAACGGTCTAAACAGGTGATTTTAGCTTGGCGATATTGATCACTGATTCTATCTAACAGCAGAGAGAGAGGCAGCTGATCTGTATTCAGCTGTGGATACCAATCATTCACCGTCAGTTTCCATCTTAGTAATCTCTGAAAAGCTGCTTCGTCTTGTAAAAATCCCCAAACTTGTAAAAATTCAAAGATTTGATCACTGCACCGCATGGAATAACTTCTCAGTGGGATGCACTTCATATGAACTCATCTCTCTATGTCCAAGGCTACTAAAGTACAAGGTAGACCCTCTAACATTCAATCACAATATTTCCTTTCACCTTGAATCAAGGGATATAAATAATATATATATACAATATAAATTTTAAAAAAAGTCAGAAAAAAATTCAGTTTGCAATAATATAAAACAGTGAATGTAACTGGCAAATATTCTGGCATTTTTTTCTTTATACATGGTGATTGATTGACATTTTTTTTCAGCTGTACCTGAGTATCACACTATGTTCCGCATATTGTGTGATTCAGTAGCAACAGATGCCTGCTTCAACAATATGAACCCAGTTTGTGTGTTTATTACAGTTAATATACTGCTTTTTTATCAGTAATATTTGAAAGATGATAATTAATTTAAACCAGCCAAACAATCCTTAATCTGTCGTTTGTCTTCTGTCTATTTGTCTTTTCATACAAAAACATGTTCTCTGCCCGTATTTATTCAAAACCGCGGCCATTAGACAGAAAATCTAGGATCCAGTCTGGCAGCACTGATACTTACACAGTACCTGTCAGATTCTATCATCTTCCTCATCCTAATAGTCCAAATGTAGACTTTTCTTTGCCTTGACTGTGGGGATGTATTAACCACACCTGATTCCCCATCACGTCTGAGAGAGTGACTGTTCATCTGTATTTTGCTGCAGACGTCGATCCTTCACTGACAACACATGCAACATGTGTCTGTGTCTGACGCCTTATTTAGAACCACACCAAGCAGTCAGCAGAGAACGGGTTAACTTGCCAACAACTGGCGCCGCTTCATGAGCCAAACTGTCCATTTTAGGTGATAAGTTTGATACGTGCACCCACGCCGTTTGTGATTAATGTGAGTGGAAGTCATGTAAACACAGAAAATTGTGTCAGAGGAAGCTGTTAGCAGAATGTGTTCTTTCCAGAGATGCAGCTCCCATAGAAGATGCGGTCTGGCCAACATTTGCAGGCAAGCAGGCACACTTCTCTCATTTCATGTCAGCTCTCCTAAACCATGCTGCTCCCCGTTCAAGCTCTCAGTATTCACCTTAAGTCCACTCCATCACATCAAAAGACATCACAGGGGATTGAAATGTATTACAGTAAACAGGAGCGAGTAGATGACATGATACCCAAGTGGGGTCATCTGCACTTTGACTCTTGGCTTTCTATGTGACATACATACATACTGTATATGTATCACATCCCATTCAGTTGTTTGACACAACATGGGTAGCTTTACAGATCATCAACATTTCATCTGTTGCGCACTGTGCAGCGCAGCGGTGGTGTAGAGGTGAGTCAAGCCATTTTCAGTGTCATAATAGATTCACAGCAACACACAAGGCCTAGCTGACAGGATAATGATTACTCTCCTGAATCAGGTTGAAAAAACTTTTTGAGTCTCATAATGCAGGTAGGAGAGGAACATGTTGTGAGAGTGTTTTCAAAGAAAGAGGCAGCCCTTATAGCTGTGTTGTTCAGCTTCCTGTTCCTCAGCTATCTTAGGCGATACTGTTAGGTAGAAGTTGAATTTCATTCAATGTGAGTCTCCTTTTGTCTCCAGGATGTTGTAGAATTTAACATAAATGTGCTATTGAGCTGAGCTGGTAGACACTTGCTTCTCTAATGATTGAATTATTGATGAAATGTGTTTCTTCTGTGCTCTGCGTCTTAGGGAATAGCAAGTAGATCCACGATGTCTGGTAGAACCAGGTCTCCGGGGAAAATTCTAATTTTCTTATTATACAGTATTATCACCGAACAAATAAGAAAGAGCCACGCAGAGATGTGCCAGTGGGAGAGAAGAACCAAACCTGATAAATCATTCTGCTTGTCAGCAGGAGCCCAGAGCAAGACGCTGTTTGGGACTTCCAAAGCCAATACAATTGGATTCAACCCCACGAAGAGTAAAAGCAGTATCTGACATTGTACGCCTACTTAGTGCTCGTCTTTGGTTTTCCTCCTTGAAACAAGAAGCAAGTCGAAACACGGCAAGAAGCTGTCTTATTAGGCAAAATAACAGCATTGATTTTAAAGATTGAGGCCAGTCAGTTGTTGTGTGATCAAAGCATCTCCCTCCTTCTTCCCTCCCTGTTTGTCCTTGTCTTTTTTTCTTTCCCTCCTGCCTCTCTAGAGGAAAGTATCCAAGGCCATCCAAATGTATTTTTGGAAGGTGAGCAAACCCCTGGAAGTCCAGCTTCACAGGAGTCCTCTGAGACAAAGACTGAAGGAGGAGGAGGAGGAGGAGAAGAGGGAGGTCGCAGAGCCAGCATGACCAGTGTGGAAAGTGAAACGTCAATGTGCTCCATGGGCCAGCTGGGAAACACCATCACTAACAGTGAGTGGGAGGGAAGGAGAGTAAAGGAAAGACTCTTGTCTCATTTATTAAATTATCTCCTGTAGATGAATTCAGGTTTATAAGGTTTCACAGCTCTTAAGTTGACTTCTAATTTTCTCATTCAGTGGTGGAAGAACTATTTAGATCCTTTATTTAAGTAAATGCAGCAATACCACAGTGTTCAAAGTACTCTGATGCAAATAAAGCAGAATGTGAGTATTACTGGTAAAATATCCTTAGTAAGTATCAAAAGTAAAAGCATTCATTATGAATAATGAATAGCCCCAAGGTCCAGAAAGATGTTTTTTTTTTGTTTTTTTTAAACGTGTGCACGTAAGATCATTCTTTGTGGACTTCAGGAGCTCCTCTGTCAGCTTTGCCGCAGGACAAGTTATAATTTGTCCTGCTTCTTCAGTTCTAAGAAGCCTCTTGGATGAGATATGAAGGGTCTTAAGAACCTCAAGCAAGTCCAGTTGCCTTGGTACTGCTCTTAGAAGCTCTTAGAAATACCATGAACTGGACGACTAAGGATTGAAGTACTTCAAAACTGAAATTTTGTGTGTGTGTGTGTGTGTGTGTGTGTGTGTGTGTGTGTGTGTGTGTGTGTGTGTGTGTCAGTTTCCAGTAGCTGGTGGGGCTCCAAAAGACTGGACTTTGCTCTGTATTGCCCTGATGTGCTGACCGCCTTCCCAACAGTGGCCCTGCCTCACCTTTTTCACGCCTCCTACTGGGAGTCCACGGACGTAGCAGCTTTTGTTCTCCGACAGGTAGGAGAGCCTTATTGACAGCCTTACTGTTCTTCCTCAGCAGGTTTCACACTCAGGGAGAAGTACTGTCTAAATACTCAGCACACAACTACACATACTACACATTTACATTTTAAATGTTTTTTTTTAGCATAGAACACACTATATATGAAGTTTTGAGTTGATTTGTGTGAATTATAAGTATACTTTACTTCAAGCAAGTGTAGTCCAACATCATCTAAAGGCCATTTCATAATGACATTTCACAGCAAGACAAAGCTATTTGTGGGGAAAGAAACTGCTGACTCAAATCAAAAGTGGAGAGGTTTTCTGGGCACGTTGCTCTGAAAATAGATTAAAACAAAGTAACAAAGGACAGAACAACCCCAGTCTCTTTTTCAGGCTATAAGTTTGAATGTGTACTCCGTCTTCCTTGATGTATCAGTTGTGGTCTGCTCCAAGCCCACAGCCTCCAGGTTTGTTTGTTTGTGAGTGTGTTACATGTCGTTATAACCAAATGAGAGTAGCAGGAAGCCACTTCACATCACTGCATCATCCATTTAGCTCTGTTTCAACTGCTTTGAACTGTGTAATACTGTAAAGCACAACAAAACCATCAGTGAGAAACTTGAAGGAGGTGGGAAGTGAAGGCACTGGACAGAGGTGTTCAGTTGGAAACACCAACCGTTTCTGTTGTGTTAATATAAATCTGCCAATTTTTTGAAACTTATAGCATTTCTGGCAAGGAAGTGGCCAGAATCAACAGTCCTATTGTGAATATTTTAAATCAACTGGTCTTGACATGCAGGAATATTTTTAGTAATACGTTTTGTAATTATACACAGTATATGTTCAACATGTTTTAGATCCTCAGTGACTTTTCTCTTTTGCCATTTCTTTGAACCCAATGCTGCGACCTGTGGAGCAGCTGTTTTAATTTTTTTATTTAATGTCTGTGTCTTCTTGTTTCACAAACAACACAGCGCAGGAGAAAGATGCTGCTTAGTTCTCCAAGGGCTCCTTCTGCACACATGACTCACTGAATATGTTTTTACAAAAGGTCTGGCAGTGAGCCAGTAATGCCATCAACACTTGTAGCAGTGGACAGAGTCAGTTAAGAATTAAACAATGTATACAGATATTTACTGACGCATTTTAACAATGAATATCATGTAGTAAAGTAATTTCATGGTACCATCCTTGGTGAGTCATGACGCGTGGATTTATAGCTGAAAGCACAATACATGATGTAAAGGCCCATTTTTTACCTTGATTTAGCCTTGATGAGTGATTCAAGATTTTGTGATGTTCTGCAAAGCGAAGAGAAGGTCAGCACACTTTATCTTGTGTGGAAATGGTTGGGATTCATCTCACACCTCACAGTTGAGCCTCAGACAAGTGGAGGCTATTTTATCAAACGTGTACCAGCTGCAACAGCGTTAGGCTTGTATTGTTTTCACCTTCTGAGTGTGTGTGTGGGTGTGGGTGTGGGTGTGGGTGTGTCATTATGGCAAAATGTGGTCCTGGAGACATCTATTGTATTGGGAAGTACCACAGAGGCAGTTCTGAGTATTTTGGCAGGTGTTAATATGTCTGTCTGTCTGTCTGTCTGTAGAAGAATTTTGTCAGCGCGACAACAGTGCAAGATACAGACAAAACAATTTATGGTTGTGTAGTTGAGATCATAATGAAGGCTGAGTTTGAAGAGTGTGAATACTGACTACTCATTTAACAATGCAGTAATAATGTAGTAATGACTACTCAGTACCTGTGGGTTGATACGTCAACATGTTGATGGGCATCACGGCTGATGTGATCCCATAGCAAGGATGACTCCAGTTGATTTTGAAATCTGAACAAATCTGACTAGAATTCTGTAGTCATGCACTAAAAAGTGCATGACTTTAATCTACAAAAATTAATTGTGTAAACTCTTCTTAGGGTTAGTTTGGATTTGTCTGCAAATATGTTCTCAGCTTAAATTAAGTCTCCAGTCATTTCCATATTTCTTTCACCAACTTTCTTAATTCATAAGGACCCAACCTTTGATCAGAGGTCTTTTGGTGCCACCAGTGCACATATTTCTAGAATTAAACCATTTACCCACTGGGCTGCCCATGAATATATCCCATTTTTAACAGTGATTGCATTCACATGTAGCTTGTATTTGTTCATCTGTGATAATGACTGGGATGTCACCGAATCCTCAGACACCAACAAAGAGCAAAAAGAAAAAGTGCACCATGTCAGGTCCTATTAAAAGTCACTGGAAACACAGGCAGTCTTTGAACTTGATCATTAGAAAGCAGAGCTCCCAGAGGAGAAAAAAAGAAAGATTTCTTCATCCCGCCACTGTCTGCTGCAGCATGTCTTCTTTGGGAGAAAACGTGAGGGGAATAAGGAGAGCATGTAGGAAATAAGAGGTGCTATCAACGCCATCAGGAAGCTAATAAACATGAAGATCATTATTTTGGTTCAGTGGTTTTCAGCTCCACTCGATGCTTAGTTGTATTAAAGGAATGTCGTGGAATTTAAGGGCTGTGCAGAAAGTAATTTCTAAACCAAGCTTTTTTCAGTGTGTCTATTGAGAGAATGTCTTCCACTGTTTAAAAACATGGAGTGTCTAGACGTCCAAGCCACCCAGTGACTGACTCAGGAATTATATGCATGGCCTCTTTCAAGTAGGGAGCAGTCACTTTCTTTCGAGTATTCCAAATCACTCCTTAGCCCTTAGTCTGTGTCAGCGTTTCTCTTGTCACAATGGCTTTCCATAAGAATTGTGACTTATGATCCCTAAACATAACTGCAGATTTAATTTCAAGGCTTCAGGTGGTAAATCTTCCAAGTGATTGTGTATTCTTCGCCATCTCAATGTGCAGGAAGTGTTCATGTGAGACTAGTCAAGTCAATTTTATTTATATATAGTGCCAAATCATAACACATAATAATAATAATTAATAATTCAAATAAATAACAATTATAGCAGTGGGTGTTGAGCAGGATCTTGGGGCTGCCCCTCATCTGGCTTTCAATCAGGAGGCATAAATACTTGCAGAAAGAGACAGGAGGACAAGAAAGCACAAACCTCTGGGAGAGAGAAGAAGCTGAGTTAGTAACATGTACCAAGGGGAAATCAATATATACAGAGGGAGAGGTATAGAGGACAAGACAGGAGCTCAGTGCATCATGGGACATCCCCTGGCAGGACTATAGCAGCAAAACTAGGGGATGGATCAAGGCAAGCCTGAGCCAGCCATAACTCTAGGATTTCTCAAAAACGAAAGTTTTAAGGCTACGCTTAAACTTAGAGAGGGTCTCTGCCGCCAGCACCCAAACTGGAAGATGGTTCCACAGGAGAGGAGCCTGATAGCTGAATGCTCTGGCTCCCATACTACTTTTGGAGACTCTAGCTATATGATGGTGCCTGACCATAACGGGCTTTAAGGAGGATTTTAAATTCTATTCTGGATTTTACAGAGAGCCAGTGCAAAGAAGCTAACATGGAAGAGATATGATCTCTTATCCTAGTTCTTGTCAGCAATTTGCATCAACTGGAGAGCCTTTAGAGAGTTGTCTGGGTAGCCTGATAGTCAGGAATTCCAATTATCCAGCCTAGAAGTAACAAAAGCATTGACCAGTTTTTCTGTGTCTTGTACAGAAAGGATGTGCCTGACTTTTGCCATTTTATGTAGGTGAAAAAGGGCACTCCTTTTGCAATTTGCTTTATGTGGGAGTTTAAGGGACATACCCTGACCAAAGATTAAAGCTGGAGGCCAGAGCAATGCCATCCAGGGTAACCATAGCATTATTGTTGCTGAGGCGTTTGGAGCCAAGTACAATAACTTCAGTTTTGTCTGACTTTGATAGCAGAAAATTGCAGGAGATCTAAGTCTTTGTCCTTAAAGCAGGCTTGAAGTTTAGCCAACAGAATGGTTTCATCAGGCTTCATTGATAAATATATTTTTGTATCATCTGTATAGCAATGAACGTTAATGGAGGGTTTCTTCATAATAGTGCCTAAAGGAAGCATATATAAGGAAGTGGTCCAAGCATAAAACCTTGTGGAACTCTGTGTCTAACTTTTGTGTGCATGGAGGATTTATTGTTAATGTGTACATGCTGAAACTATCTGGTAAATAGGACTTAAACCAGCTTAGTGCGGTTCTTTTAATGCTAATCGAATGTTCCAGTCTTTGTAATAGGATGTGATTGCCAACTACTGTCTTGAGGATCTTAGAGAGAAAGGCCTTCCTGTATGTTATAAGACTATCTTACCAGACTAAGTGAGATTCTTCCAGTTTGGTGGAAACTCTTTTGTCTTATTACCTTCTTTTTTAGAGGAGCAAAAGAGTCAAAAGTCATTCCCACTGACTCTGCAGGACTATCAATAAAATGGTCAATTGGGAGGGACTAAAGTTAGCATAGGAGACCTCTTTTATATTGAAATGGCATTGAATTTAGTGCTGATGGAATCACTTCCATCAGTTAAGATACAGCACCATCAGATAGACATCTAGTGAAGACATTTTGCTTAATGGTATGTAATGCACTACACGTAATTAGATAGTGGTCTGATATCTGAGGATTCTGTGGAAAGACTATTAAATGTTCAATTCCGATGCCATATGACAGAGCAAAGTCCAGGGTGTGTTAACAAGGCAATTTAGTCTAATAATAAGAAAAAACAGCAGTGCGAAGTCTATCATTATTGACATCGAGATGAATATTAAAATCACCTACTATACTTTATCTGTACTAAGGACTAAACTTAATAGAAACTCAGGTAAAAATTAAGTCAATATGATGATCTGATATTACATTGTTTGTTAATACAGCTTCAGATGATCTAATGTTGAAGAGTCCACATTGAATTCTCCTTTTTGGCTGTACTATTGTAATGGTGCTGTTCATTGTTATTATGTTTTGTGATTTGAAAGGCTTGTTTGTGCATATGCCTGCTCCCATATACATCTGTGTTTATTGGCAGCTCATGCGATGTGACTGTGTGAAGACCCAGGAAGCGGACCATTTGGACTCGGCTCCATTCTCTCCCTCCAGCCCACGCGAAAAATGGCTCAGAAGAAGGACACATGTCAAACTAAGGGTAATAAATTAGTCAGTGTTTTTTTTTTTTATGAATATAGTTTTGTCCCAGTGTGCTCAGGTTGCAAAATCGCTAACAGAAATATGAATTTATGACCACTCAATTAATTTTTAGAAGCTCATATTCAAATTTTATGTGAACAAATTCATGAATATTTAAAAAAAAACTTTGGCTTGGATGCGAGATATTACACAACACACACACACCAGCATAAATAGTCTTTTCTGCTGCAATGGCCTTGCATTCATTCAAACTAAAAATAATGTTATCAATAACTCCTGAGGTTGCAGTGCTTTAGCCATGTGGTCTGTTTGGTAGCTGACTTTCTTAAAATACTCGTACACTTTCACCTTGAATCACTGAATTAGGCAGACACACACTTACCTGATGATTCTGAGCCGTGCAGAGTGGAACAATCAGGTTCACATTGCTATCCACCAAATGCTCCTTTTATCTGCTATTTTCTAAAGACTTAAGAATTTAGTGACTGCTTGCTTTTCATGAGGCAATAGAACAAGAACTGTGTAAGTAGAGTACCATGGAAACATATCTATATTTGGGTCTGTGATGGTTTTCTTTTTCCAGTGTCATCTTGTTCATGCCTCACCTCTGCCAAGTGATGTGTCTCTGATGTAAGTGCTTAAAGGAAAGCAGCTCTGACAAGTTGCTGTGTCCTGAATGCAATTCATTGTGTGGAGATTTAGAACTGCTCTGTGCTGATTCAATGTGGGCTCGGCCAGCTCATCTGCTGCAGAGTGATACTATTCAAGAGGCTTGGCATCCATTTCTGATCTTCCTCTGCTTGGTAAGAGGTCCTTGTCACAGCTGGAGAGAGACCACAAGTATGGCTGTTGTTTTTTTGTACATACTGCTCTTTCGCAGGCAGGGGTCTAAATCTCAGACTCATCTCTTCCACACTTTTGTCTGGTGATACTGAGGCACATGTTGCTTTCCTGTTGTCACATAAGAACACACAGAAAGTTCTTAGTGAACTGTGTCTGGGAAATCTAAGTCGATATTGAACCTTGTCAGGCCTCCTCATATCACATACGGCTATGATGTAATATGCACTCTGTGTTTGTGCGTGTGCACATACATGTTTGCTTTTTCGGCATGCTTGCCATCAGTGAGTAAGTGAGAGGAAGTGAGATGTTGCGCTGGCAGACAATTACCATTTGACAAAACTAATGCAGGATAACAGCTGGAAATGTTGAACTTCCTTGTTAGATGTCACATCCTTTAAATCAGTTATCATTAGCTGGTGTGGTTGTAAAATACAACCACAACATGGTCGATCACATTAGCACTTAGCAATATTTATTATGTGCAGATGCTCCACTTGTGCAGATGCTATTCTTTATCTACAGGGCAACAACCATGTTTCAGGGTGACTGCAAGGTGTTGGAAAAGAGCATGGATGCTGAGCAAAGTTCTCCAGGACAAAGTAAAGATTACAGAAATGGCAGAGAAGTCAGTAGGAAAATTACTGTCATGCTGACCCACAACATAGTCTGAGAATTAGACATTAGAGTGCTCATAATATGCTATTAAAATGCAACCATCTCTGCAAGAAGAGATTTAGGGATTAGTGTTTTTCTGTTGGCTCACTCGGAGGTACTCACTGCATGGTGAAATATGGAGAAAAGAACAAGACGAGAAAGCTTAATCGAGAGTTAACACTCTTTTCTCTAAGGTCGCACAGTATGTTCTTCTGAGGCATTGAAATCTGGAAATGCAACACATCAAAGCGGAGAAAACTTCAGCTATTTTCTGTCATGTTGCATGTCACCAAGGCTTGTAAAAACAAGTCATTCAAGGACAAACTCCAGTTGTGATGTTAGTGGAGCTGGCTGGTGGCTCAGGCAGACACCATACTGTCTAATCATGCTGGATGTCCACATATGATGTCGGCCCACGTCAAGTTTACTAACGTTTGAGCATGGAAGTTAATTCTTGACATTGGGAGCATTATGTGTGAAAATATAATCTCAGCTCAGAGTCCGCTTACTATCTTTTTTCAAAGCTTTCACCAACATCTCATGATCTTTATTTCAGAGCATCACATGAGCAGAGCCACACAAAGTTGCAAAGGGTTAACACTGTGATGTTATTGTCCTGAACAAAGTGTTTAATGCTCCATCTTGTTGTCTGCCATAGAACGTCACAGCCAACCACAGGGTGAATGATATCATCGCCACCGAGGACGGACCTCAAACTCTGGTTGGTCGCTTCATGTACGGCCCCTTGGACATGGTCACTCTGACTGGAGAAAAGGTGAAAAAGAGCAACGTGATTGATTGCTACTGATACAAGGTTTGTGTGTGAAAGACTGACTTTAATCTCTACGCGGTGACTCACTTTGTCCCTGTCAGGTGGACATCCTGCTGATGACACAACCTCAGTCTGGCCGCTGGGTGCACTTTGACACAGAGGTGACCAACAGCAGCGGCAGAGTCACATATACCATACCCAAGAGCAAGAAGCTCAGCCTGGGAGTCTATCCGATTAAAATGGTGGTCAAGTAAGCATCCATGTAGCATGCCCTTTACAGAGTGCTGCATTATCTAATAAGATGTAGCAATACATAGAAAAAGGAGAGATTTATTGAATTAGATCCTATGCCCGTGCTCTGTATAGGTGTATGAGCTTCTAGCTGCAGAGCGCAGTATAACGGGCGTCCTTGAACTGTCTAACAACCATGTAGTAGCAAATGCAGTTTCTCATTTCTTATGCAATCTCTCTCTTTTTCTATCCCAAGGGGAGATCAAACGAGTGCAGAGGCCTACCTGACTGTGTTGCCACGGGGCATGGAGTGTGTGGTCTTCAGCATCGATGGTTCTTTTGCTGCCAGTGTGTCAATCATGGGCAGTGACCCCAAGGTTCGCCCCGGAGCTGTTGACGTCGTCAGGTAACTGGCAGCAGCCTCTGAATGTGTGTGGGTGAGTGTGTGTGTGCATGTAAATGAAATCCACGTTAACAAAAAGGTTCAGAGGAATGTAAAAATTCAGAAGTGGCTATGTCCTCTTGTGAGCATGCCAACCATTTTACACATTTAAGCATGTCCTTTCAGTGTTAATGCCACTACTGAATAGCTTTGAAATGAGTAGCTTTTGAAACATCTTTGATGTTATGTATTCACATGCAGGCACTGGCAGGACCTGGGATATCTGATCATCTACATCACAGGACGCCCTGATATGCAGAAACAGCGTGTGGTGTCCTGGCTCTCACAGCACAATTTTCCCCATGGGATGATCTTCTTCTCTGAAGGCCTGGTTCATGATCCCCTGCGGCAAAAGACCATCTTCCTCAGGAACCTAATACAGGAGGTAGACCTCTGAGACAAACCAGTGTTTTGACATTAATCAGGCATTTAATCTTTCTTATAAAGCATATGAAACATTTTACTCTCCCTCCAACAGTGATCTTTCTATATTTCTCCTCCGTGTCACTCTTTTGCAAGCTCACAGCCATGGGTTATACTGCACTGAAATGCCAAATACATCTCTGACCGATTATTTTCTCTCTCACCAGTGTCACATTAAGATCAACTCTGCTTATGGCTCCATGAAGGACATTTCTGTTTACAACATGCTCGGCCTCAGCCCCTCACAGATTTATATTGTTGGCAGACCTTCGAAGAAATACCAGAATCAGTGCCAGGTGGTTCAATTTCCTTTTGTTGCTTTTATCTCTTTCTTTACTAGCTTTTCATGGGTTGAACTTTTTGGTCTTCCTCTTGTGTTTTCTCATTTACTCTCATCTTCTTACTTCAGTCTTTCTGATTTTCTAACTCTTTCTCTGTGCATTGTGTCTAGTTCCTGAGTGAAGGCTACGCAGCGCACCTCTCCACCCTTCAGTTCGGGCACAGAGCCAGACCCAAGAAATCCCCTTCGGTTCGTATGGTCCTAAGGAAAGGCTCATTTGGTCTCTCAGCGAAGCCTGACTTCCTGTGTAAGCGCACCCACCTGCGTAGGACCATGTCGGTACAACAGCCCGACCCGCCGTGCACACCCAACCCGAAGCCTGAACGAGCCCAGAGCCAGCCGGAGTCTGATAAGGACCACGGGGGAGGAGGAGGAGGAGCAGGAGGAGGAGGTGGTGGCGGCGGAGGAGGACAAGGTGCATGGGGACGGGCCTCCATACATCGTGGAGACACGACTCCCTGACGTCAAAAAAGAGATGGAAGGATTGCAGGAGGACAGAAGAAGAGGAGAACAAAGGGGTCTTAGTGTCTAGAGCCAAGGTGAGATCTTATTGTTTAAATGTGGGAGATTTAAAGTATAATTGCAGATTATAACAACATGTATCTTATTTTTGAGGCATTCTTTATTTTCCAGCTTTCTTATTGGTATTGTTACCTTCAAACAAGACAGGAAACACTAGCAGTCAGACGATTGTTCTCAAGCTTTAGGCTGAGAAAATGAAGGTGAACAGAAAAGATATTACCTAAAAATCATTGCAGTTTGCAAATCAAAGTCTTCACAGACTTAGTTTAAGATTCACTTATGACCTTGCTGTAGTTGTGCACACACACAGTCTTCTTGTGCAGAGAGGGACTATTACTGACATTTCAGGTGTCAATAACAACCTGTCTGACCACTTGTTTCTCGTCCATCTGGACAAGATGTCCTTCACAAATGATGCAGGTTTTTCTTGGGACAGAGCAACATGAGGCTGTACTGTACCGCACTGTTTCAAATTCAAGAATAGAGCAATAAGTCACATTATTTAGTTTTGTAGAGAAAAAAAAGAAAAAAAAAAACTGTTGAGTGGTTTGCGAGTACAGTTCAGGTGTACTCAGGTATGGTTTGTATCAGGTGTGAAAAAAACTGTACCAAAAGACAAAAGTATCCAAACTTTAGTTGAGAGCATCAAAGCGGTGAGGACTGTCAGAATGTGTGTGTCCTCATGTTTCTGTTTTATTGTTTCCCACTTAAGAATAACAATGGCTGTCAAATTAACAGCAGCAAACATTAACATGACATTAATAAATCCTCGCTGAATAATGCAGCCTTTCACCTCTCACTTCACTTTACTGCATTGCTTGTTAAGCCGTTAAGAGCCTATGGCTCCACAAAGCAGTGACGCAAACACAGATTGATTTTGCTTGCTAATGTTGACTTCCAGCAAAGTCAATAAACGTCCACCTTGATTAGATTATGTTCTTGGTTGTACGTGATACATTACAGTCTTTACACTTTTAGTCACAGAGGCATTATTATTTTTGTAAATAAACTTAGGTCTAAGAGGCCAAAAGAAAAAAGGAGAAAAACAACAGAAGGGAAACATTATTCTTGTGGCAGCCTGAGTAAGATGTGCTATTATTAGCAGCAGCACCCCAGTAGGACTGGATGTAAATTTTCCCATCATTATGATTATGTAAGTACTGATGAGCTACAACTGCAATGTCCTCCCATGCTTGAAATCCACTCATTTTTAGTTTTGGAAATATTGTCTGTGCAATTATGGAGATTGGAGCTGTAAAACTGTGAGAGCTGTAGGAACAAATATGCTGACAGAGATTGTGCAAACACTAATCAACGTGTTAACTTTTCCTTGAATGTGAGACACCTAATTTCCCTCTCTCACTTGACAGTGTCACTTCTACCTACTGTACCTGTACATTGGATCCTCTGCCGGTATCGCTCACGGCTCAGCTTTACCTCCTTGCTTGGCCCTCTACACTTTGACACCTGTTCGGCCTTTTTTCCTGCCCTGCTCGTGGATAATGTCTCTTAGTCTCTGTGCCTGAAATTGGAAGAAAATGCTGGGGATGGCAATGATTTTTGGGAATGTCTGTCTCAAGCTCAAATTGTGTCTAATTGTTAAATCAGAAGAATGTACTTAAGATGGTAAACATACACACAAATTCATGTGCACATTCGTGTGCTTCAGAGGATGAAAAATGCGGCGCCTGAGGTGACTTTGAACACGGTGACACCGAAGAAGCAGATTACAAGATGCTGTACCACACTCTGATCCCATTCAGACTGCTGTGCTGACAGGTGGTCATGTTGACTGACTCCTGCACTGATGTAAATACTCAACTCACATCATCCCTGCGTGGGCTTGTGGACACAGGAGCACTGTGACATTTAGGTTCAATCTGTACACGAGCTCTGCGATCTGGAGCCCAAATCAGCCGACCTCCCATTTCACTCTTCCTGTCAGATGTCTCCCTCGCGTTGAGGCTGCCAATCCCCCCACCCCCCTGCACCCACCCGCCCACCATCCTTCCCCCTCAACCAGTCAGGCAGAACATGCCTTTCGACAGCCGTCTCAGACCAGGTCCACAGCTGCTGAACGCGCTGTGCTGTGCACGACTCGGTCCCCGAGGTCGCTTTTGCACTATCAAAGTACGCCACAGTTGTTTTCGATTTAGCTGCGGCACTAGCTTAAGAAACAAAGAGTTGTATTTGTATTTTATTGTACTTGTAGTTTTTGTCTCTCCTGCAGATTGTGCTCTGTCGCTGTCTGTTGGTTACTGTAACTACTGGAGGATTAAACACAAATAGTTTGTAGGAAAGTGTTGATTTGACCAAAAAAATGTTTACAGATTGACAGACACCGCTGTAAAAAGGGGTCAACTCTTGTTCATCTATATAATTACAATGACAGTGTAATTATCATTATAGGCAATGTCAGTTTAATTGCTTAGTAGTTGCAGCAGCTTGCAGGATATTGTACAATAAACCCCATGCCAGTTGAAACTCCATCAGGATGCTATAGCATCCATTTATTACAGCTGCACTGGAGCCAATAGATTTGTGATGAAATCTGATGCTGTCTTGTGCACTCGAGGTTGAATTGAGTCTTATTGTGGCCATGTTTAAAACTCTGTGCAAGTCAAACATATTTTTCTATGAGGAAATATTGTAAATAGAAATATTTTCAATGTATGTTTTTGAACCTTTTGTTGTTTGACTTGTTGAATGGTTGATTTTTGCCTTAAATTGTATTTGATGTTGTTTAGAGATACAAAATTATTTTTATTTCTTTGACCAAAGTATTGAGTTTCACTGTTACATCATGACAAAGTGCATTTTATCTAGTTGATATTTTTGCTTTTTGGATACTGTATATGTGTGTGTGTGTGTGTGTGTGTATGTGTGCGAGTGTGTGTGTGTGTCTACATAGTTGTTGTGGAGTTGTATTTCCTGTGAATATGAAGACAGTGATGACCATGACATGTAGAGATCCTCTGCAGAGGAATCAGTGGACACAGGGAGGCCAGTGTTAACATACCTGCATGTTCTCACTGCAGCTCACTATTTTTCAGAACTGACTGTGTATTTTTGTAGGTGTGGATTGAAGCAATGTGTCAAAGGATTACTTGGTCCAGGTTTTTATACCTGCTATGAAAGAAAAAGGGCTTATGAGTTCTTAGGGTGTCTTGGTTTAACTGAACGGAGTGGAACATGCAAGCCAAGAGGGAGACTCCTTTTCTCTCACCTCCTGTACATCATAGGTGGTCCAGTGATTAGCTATTTGATTACTACTAAGTATGTATGACTCCCTGTAGTGTCGCCCCTGTAATTGTAGTGCACCAATTAGCATTACCTGGTAATTGTATAATATTGTAGAAACAATACTGAAATACTTAACTCGATTTTGTTTTTCCATTTAAATTGTTAATACAGAAACTTTGTTATCCGAGCAAAAAAATGATCATTCCCATCAATTTACACACAATAATCAAAGTGACTCCATCAGTGTGTATATATCTGTATAACACATAGTGATATTTTCCTGCCATGATGAGACACTGGAGAAGTGAAATATTTAATCTGGGCGGCATTTTAGTACACCAATGTTAGTAAATGGCAAATAATGATCTAATGGTTAAATGGTGATGTGCATGTTAATTATTTGATATTGTTAAGTGGCTATCAGATGTCATGTTTGTGGCACTCTTTAATAATGGAGTAGTTATTTGTAAGTAAGTGGTGAATAATTATTCATGAACATAAATTCAATCACCACATGCTGAATAAAATGAAAATCAGCACTTCAATTATGATAAATAACTGAGTTTTTTTTTGAACAGTAAAAATACTCTGTAAGTGTAAATGAGGCATGGCAAAGACTGACGTTACCTCTTACTTTTACCTCAGACTTTCACTCATTTCATGTGATTAATGGAAACCTTAATGGTGACCAATTAAAGGAAAAAGCAACATAAAGTGTCTTAGGAAAGTGTTGGGCCACCACATCCCACCAGACTAGCTTCAGTGCTCTCCTTGGCATTGATTCTACAGGTCTCTCAAACTTTACTGTAGGGATGAACACCATTCTTCCAAAATATATTCCCCCATTTGTTGTTTTGATGGCGGCAGTGGTGGAGAGCGCTCTCTAAAATGTTGGTCCAAAATCTCACATAGATGTTCAATTGAGTTGAGATCTGGTGACTGTGAAGGCCATAACACATGATTCACATCATTTTCATACTCACCAAACCATTCACTGACCCCTTGCGCCCTGCGGATGGCAGCATTGTTGTCCTGGAAGAGACCACTCCCATCAGGATAGAAATGTTTCATTACAAGATAAAGATGATTATTCAAAACAACTTTGTGTTAATTTGCAGTGACCCCTTCCTTTAAGGGGATAATTGGACCCAAACCATAACAGCAACAAACGCCCCCTACAGCATAACAGAGCCACCAGATCTCCTCACTACAGGTGTCAAGAGTGGTGACTGAGAATTGACACATTCTCAACAGGCAGAGTTGCTAGCTTTTTCCTTACATATCGCTCGAATGCATGAACCTCATGGTCATCAAGTTTGCAACTACAATTTCTGGCCATATCTACTGACGTCTTTCCGCTAGATCCAAATGCAGGTGTCACTTCACTCGCTGTTCCGATAGAAACACCAGCCAGTTGAACAGTCTGTGACTGATGCTCCTCCTTTCCATTCCCCCGACAATGAACCCTCTTTCACTTAGATCTTTTCCTGTTGCCATCTCGGTATAGAATCAGAATCAGCTGAGCCTGCCCAGCATTTTTATAAATGCAACAGAGCATGATTGGATGTTAATTTCTTAATTGCACCAAGCAGTGCCCCTATGTGAAAGCATCTGTATTTGTATACTGAATTATTCAGGTTTTTCCTTTAATTCGACGCCTGTCTGTAATTAGATAATCCATTTTAATTTTATTCTTA